ACCAACGTGGAATTTTTTGCCCAACCGTATTTATTTGACATCATGCGCCGGATGCTGTGAACACGCTCAGGACAGTTGGACATTGTGGTGGATCAGAGGTAAAAAATTATATAAATACTGTTCAGTTTCTTGCACAGACCGATCATTTCGTGTCTTAAGACCTCAATGTATCGTCACCAGCCGTAGGGTTTAATTTGGTTTTGTCTGTGTATGTTTTTTGACTCTCAAAGCCATGGGACCCATTGACTGCCATTATAGGACTGAAAGACTGCAATGGTTTGAGTTAAAAATCTTCGTTTGTGTTCTACTCAAGAAACAAAGTCACCTACATCTTGGATGCCCGGGGGTAAGCAGATAAACATCAAATTTTCTTTTTTGGGTGAACTATCCCTTTAATATTGACAATGTGAATTAAGGGAGAGCCAATTACACTTTCCTGCTTTGGCTCAGTCACATGGGATCCTACTGCTGGCTGGTTAGTGCAGTTTAACACACTCCCCAAAATAACTGTCTCCATGCCAGGTACCTACAGGCATTAGCAAATTTAGCAGAGATAACGTAGTGCACACACCAGCGTCAGTGAGAGACGCTACTAACGTAACTATTTGTTACATTACACAGTAGCTCAGCGGATCCCATATATATCATATTTATGGTATAAATTGTCTAATAAATATATATGCCATTTCTTGGGATATTTACAGGTGCATCTCAATAAATTAGAATGTCGTGGAAAAGTTCATTTATTTCAGTAATTCAACTCAAATATACTTAATACTAATTACATGCATAAAAATGTACAATGTTGAAATAAGATTTATTTTTATTTCAAATAAATGCTGTTCTTTTGAACTTTATATTCATCAAATAATCCTGACAAAATGTATCATGGTTTCCACAAAAAATATTGCTTAAATTCAGCTAAAATTCTAAAAAATATTAAAGATAAAACAAACAAATTTATTATTGTAATAATATATAATATTTCACAATTTTACAGAAAAGAAATACAGAAATTACAGAAATATATATCTTACATAAATGTAGTTAGTTACACTACAAGCTAATACAGAATATATATAACTACTTTTTTTTGTTAAGTGCAGCTTGACTGTAGTTGAACTACCTTAAATTATGAATAGCTAGTGTCCCCAACGCTGGCACAAAGTAACTAAATGTAAACCTAGTCTCTAATAAAGGAGAAAGTGGACGAAAGATGTGAGAAGAAAGCTGCGAGGCACATGAGAGGAGGGAGAAATTAAAATCCCGAAGGCGAAACTCCTTCGTTGAAGACTCCTCTCTGTCCCCCAAGGCATCAGGAGAAGAGCAGACATTTCTCCATGTTCCCCACAGCTTCTGTCTGTGGGGTCTGAGACTAAAATGACAATTTCACAGTAAACAGCATTTTACATAATTCCAATGCTTTTTGGATTGCAACAGACAGAGGACTTGGACTGCAAGGCTATCCACACATCAGCAAAGTATGCATAATTAACACTGCTTTGCATAATTAACTGCCGTGCTATCAGGTAATTAATAGACAGTAATAAGGCCACAGAGCCTGAAGCTTCCTGTGGTGATAACAGGAGCCCAGAGCAGTGACTAGATAACTTTCCATAGTTAGATTAGTGAGACAAAGAACTGAAGGTCATGGAAAATGGCAACAGTCACCATTTCTGCAGTGCTTGAATAAATATTATTTCACAAAATGCCTTTTCTTCCTTCTCAGATACAAAAAGAGAACTGTGGAAAATACAGCAAATATATATATATTTATACTTTTATATATATAACAAACTAAAATTAAAATTAAAAAAGCTAAATCAAAATATTAATATATAGTTGTATATAAATACTAAATTAAATTATCGCCACTCAGAATTTCGTCATAGTCTGACAAGCTCTGGTTAAGCATGGATCTAAAAGCCAAAAATCAAACCGTGACATTCATATTTATTCTATACATCACTGAAACACTATTTTCCTATAATGAAAGCCTAACTGAATAGAATCCAACTTGTTGCAATGGATACACACAATCCTTTCAAAAGCTTCCTTGCCTCAAACACACAGTGTGGGGTTAACAGAATGACCTTACTATTGTGACACTGTAGAAGAGAGAACAGCTCAATATGCAACAGTTCAGGACTCAGCGATCAGCCACCTCTCAAAGAGACAAGCAGAGTCCGGTCCACAAAACAAAGCATCGTCTGTTTCTAATAGGGAAAACAACCTCAGCAATGAACTGCCCTGCCCAGTGTGGGGAATGACCCCCCGCTGTGACCGTGCCAGAGTCTCAGACAGCAGAGGAAAAAGGCAGAAAGTGACACGTGTGTGCACACATGCACACACAACCACTGCAGACAAATGGATTTCATGCAGAGTGATATACACAAGCAAAGGCACCTCCTTCTAAACCTAATCAGCGCAAACAGAGGTAACCCAGACTCTCACTCTCATAAACAACATACATGCCAACAAAACCCCTGTGAGCAGGCCCCGTTTGCTAAATTACACTTAATTGAGCACAATAGGCTGAGTCTGGCTCCAAATGTGACTTCACAAACTGGGCAGAGAACAGAACACAATTAGGTTTTGCAGAGCTCACCAGTGAAAGACCATTTACTAATTAATCTGTTTTTAATAGATTTAAATATAGTGTCTGACACAGAATTAAAACACAAAGTGTAGATTTTGCAATCTGCAGCATCAGCGATTTTACAGTAAAGCAATAAGCCATGTGCGTTACAGTGTTTTAACCAGGGCTATGGGCTGATGTTACTGTGGTGCAAAATCACTGATGCACATCCTGGAACTTTTCAAATGGTGGGAATAGTAATATGATAAATAATATGATAATTAATCATTTTGAACTAACAGTAATATGACACCAAAATACTACTACTACTACTACTACTACAACAACAACAATAATAATAATAATAATTATTATAATTATTATTTTATTTACTTTAATACATTATTTATTTGAAAAAAAATTCTAACCATTAAAATGGTTAAACAAATATAATGATAATAACAATAATGTTGCACTTTTATTTTTTTAATACATTACTTATTTGAACATGATTCAACCAAGAATCATTATTATAATAACAACAACAACAATAATAATAATTATTATTTTTCATTTATATATGTGTTTAACCATTTTAATGCTTTCTAGAAATGTGGCACTTTTATTTAGTTAACGCTAATATTTTTAATTTTAATACACTTTTAATTTACGGCGTTGAACATAATTATTCATTTTTAATACATGATTCAGCAAAATTTCCTAAAAGAGTTCCAAAATGATTCTTCATATGATTCTTCAGAAGTATCCTGAGCATCACTATTGTAGTGCCGTGTAAAAGTGCTTAAACACAGAACCCAGTTCACACAATTCACACGTCATCAAGCTTCGCACGCTGGTGTGAAAACAGCATTCTCACCTGCATCCTGAGAGTTCAGCACCTCCAGGGCATGCATCATGGCACTGGCAAATACATTGGCATCCTCTTTGCTGCCAAAGTTAAGGCCGTACACCTGCCGTGCATCTCGCCACTGGTGAAACGTTTGTGTGGCCTGGTTGTATTTCAGCCCCTTGGGAATGGCACAGTTTATTACCACCTGTTGACAGAAGAGAACAGCATATTAATATTCAAATCAATGCTTGAAAATCATATATTTTACAAAAGGCTGTAAAGCGCTACATATCCTCACACAAGACAAAGCAGAGTAGTCCATAAAACTCCACATGGTCTCAAAGGAACAATGTGACTAGTGGTCGACCGATATTGGTTTTTTGACAGCCGATACCGATGCCGATATCTTGGAAAGCAGGGTGGCCGATATAAAGCCGATATAATTATGTATTTTAATTAATATTTAAAGGGGTCATATGATGCGATTTCAATCTTTCCTTTCTCTTTGGAGTGTTACAAGCTCTTGGTGCATAAAGAAGATCTGTAAAGTTGCAAAGACTAAAGTCTCAAATCCAAAGAGATATTCTTTATAAAAGTTCAGAGTCAGCCACACCTACCTAAAACGGCTCGTTCTAACACGCCCCCACATATCTACCTCACTATGTGGGAAGATTTGCATAACGCCGCCCAAATGTTCACGCAAAGAAAGAAGGCGTAACTTTTAGTCTCACTGTAGTTTTGTTGACGCTGCAGCCATGTCGTGAAGACGCTGTGTGCTTCGTTGTGAAAGCGAAACTACTTTGTTTGGTCTTCCAAAAGAGGACGATATCCGCTTCGTCATGCCTAGAGCTGATCTGTGCTGGTCGCTGAGGGAATACATCAACTTTCACCGTGGACGAAGCGGAAGCGCCGTCAAAATAAAAGTCCCGCCTCGAACGCATCGGCCAAACAGGAAAACTTATCAGCCAATGCCGATATTTAAAAAATGCCACGGCCGATATATCGGTCGACCACTAAATGTGACATCGCATACAAATTGCTGCAGCTTCCATGTGAAGCATTAAAACAAATGTTTTTAAAGCCTCATCTGTGCTGAAGAAAATAAAACCCATGTTAAGCATGGGCAACATATTCCATTTTTTGCAAAACCATATGCACAGCCACTTTTTTCCTCAAGAGAGCAAACTGATAAAACTCGAGGCTTCAAAAGTTTCAAGTAATAATTTCTCACTAAACCACCTCTCTACACAAAGGAGAAACCTCTGCATTACTAAAAGATGACTGATAACACCAGAGCCGATCCTAGACTAAGTAAATGCATTCCTTCAGAACTTGCACAAAAGTTTCTGAGGCCATCCCGGCACCAGACAGGTGTTACAGCAATAATACCACTCGGTTAATGTGGTAATCGCATATGGGTGAGAGATACTTAAACATCAAACACTTGACTGGCTCCCTAAACTCTCCAAATACCATGTCCTCAACAGGGTGAATCTTTCTCTAGCTTCTCTGTTAACTGGCTGTCATTTCAATTTCTCATCCTTTGACGTCAATGTAATTACCATGAGAAGTGCAACTAATTAGCAAGCTTTATAAAAGGAACTGTGAACTGTCAGCCATCCTGTCACAACTTACAAGTGGAGAAAACTTCTCAGTTTTCTCAACACATTAATGAAATTGAGCAGCAAGAATTAAGACTGGGGCATGGCCCTGTGTAAGCAACTTTTCTGGACAATTTTCCATTGTTTTAGCCCTACAGGCCTTAAGTGGTAGCTTTTTCTGCTAAATACAGTACAAACTGACATATATGGTAGGCAATATTTTCTTTCATATGTTTTAAAATTTGTATATATACAGGAAACATATATTCATTTTTCCCCACTCCAACCACTTACACAGAATATATCACAAGCAATCATTACTGGCTCATCTTTTTATAGAGTGTTGTTCGTGTAAATGTGTGTCTACTAAATGACATGTTACTGGCACACTTGCAGGTATAGATCTAAAGACATTAGTCAGTTATATATATAGATGACAAGGCTATCCTGGTAGGTCAAACGTAAAAGGTGTGTTGACATTTTTTGTGCAGCTCTTCAATTCTTTACTCATTTCAGTCATTAAACCACCATAAATGGCTCATCAACAAATGCCAGTAAGTTTCCTGAAGTAATCTGATATGCTCCATCTTCAGATATCACTGTGATAATAGTGTCGTTCATGAATTATTAACATAACCAGCAGGACTAAAAAGGCCTAGGTGCTCTCAGAATCAGAAACAGGCTTTCCATGAAACACAGAATAACCATAAAATAGCAATGAGTCATGTACAGTGTCACCACACCCTCAGCATTTCTGCCATTTGTGCAGCAGGGCGCAACAACCACGGTCAGTGCTGAATAAAGGTTACCTTTAAGTGCACATTACCTTGCACTTCACTAAAAGTGTAGAAAAATGTCCTCACCTAAACAATGGCAGAGAGAAAGGTTTCTTTAACGATTCGTTTCTTCACAGGAAATGAACAGATAAAAAAAGAAGCAGGCCAGACACTAATTAAATACATATGCAATGTACAGCCTGAAGTGAATTACGTGACGTGAAACTAGGCCTGGGCGATAAAACATTATTGATATTTATCAACGGTACTTCTTCGATAACGATATGAAAAATTTCGATATAGTGTACGATATATGCACGTGCTATGAGTGACGCAGACAGCACACACAAACACGAACACATGCTGAATTGAGTGCTGTGCCTGCCTGTGACACAGATGCATATTCAGCGCATTTTGACGGACAAATATGACTGCTGCACTCGCGTCTCACACAAGAGATGTAGACATGCAAAGTTAAAACAGTTTAAACTTTTAGAAAACACGTCGCGAATTTGTGGAGTTTTATTCCTTTTCACTGCGTCTCTTATGTTTTTAATGCAATCTGCGTGATGGGTGATTCGGCTCTTATGCATACTTATGCATATATATACAGTGGGTACGGAAAGTATTCAGACCCCCTTCAATTTTTCACTCTTTGTTATATTGCAGCCTATATATATATATGCATTGCATATATATGTAATGCATATATACATGATGCTGTTTTGTTCATAATTGTTTATACAATTTACGAAATTATATTTGATTTATATGAGTTAATTTAGACGTCATGCAGGTTATTTTTTTATAGACATTTCCTTGCATTGACAATTTAAATGTGCTGCATTATTTTGCTCATTGCGCCCTCCTGTGGCTTCGGGAGACAAGCCAAAAGTTTAATTAAGACCTATTTAATCTGCATATAAAACATTAGAAATTAGATATTTGTTTAATTTTTATTGTGTTTGAAAATATTTGTTGTTTGTCTCAATAAATTGGGTTAATTTAAAAATACAGTGGTTAAATTTAAGCATTTTTTTCTATTGCTCTGTTTTAAAAAAGTTTATAAAAAATGTCAATAATTATCGATACTGAACAATATGAAACATTATATAGTTTATACATTTTTTAGCTATATCGCCCAGCCCTACGTTAAACACTCTAAATTTAGCACACAAAATTTAAAAAAGTTTCTATGCCTCTGAACAGAAAAGCAAAAACTCTTTTCAAAAAGGTTTCTTAAACACTCTCCGTCTGCCACTGGCTGAATAAATGGATATCGCCGCCTAAAACTCACGTCGTTGGTTGGACATTTGTTGCTATGCCAAGCTGTTTGGGATGCTAAAACAGAGAAATGTTAAAGGAATAGTTTCTCAAAATCTGTTCCGATGAAGAAATAAAATAATCTACATCTTTGGTGGCCTGAGGGCGAGTAAATTTTAAGCAAAATTGCAATTTTGGGTGAACTATTCCTTTGAACACTACTCATGGGAATGAACCTACAAATTACATCTTAAATACAAATTACATGTATGTCCTTAAAGGGGTCATCGGTTGATATGATTCTTTAGGGTCTTAATGAAAAGTCTGTAACATAGTTTGGCTAAAATTTCTCAATGGTAGTGTAAAAAACACCTTTTTTTACCCTGTCAAATACAGCTCTTTTCAGAGTAAGCTGTTTTGTAGCATTTTCCTTTAAATGTTAATGAGCTCTGCTGACCCCGCCCCTCTCTTCCGAGCTGCTCTCTGAGGGACTGTTTACTTTAGCCGCATTCATCTTGAAACTTGCTAATTAGCACATTATTAGGAAAGGCGATTTGCAAAGATTCATTAAAAACCTTATACTCACTTCTTCAGTAGGTGAAGCTGGATCACGAATGATTCGCGCAAACATAGACGCATTTAGGTAGATCAGGGGCGCATTCCCTTCAAAAACAAATGTAATCCACTGCGTATTCAGCGGCTCAGATTTCGGGAGTAAATGATGACTGCTATGTTCAGTATTACATCCAACAACAGAACACCTCAATCGCTTAGGAGTCATTCTTGTCTACATCTGCTCCGGCAGTGAAACAATGGCGGACTGATGACAGCTCACTCAGGCGGGTCTAAGGTAAGATGCCAGTCCAGTCTGTGCTGAAACGCTATTGTCAATCAAACTATCGTGGGAGGGGCCTGTTTTTGTGAAGAGGTTGTTTTTGAGATGTTTTTGATGCACAGAACTTTGACATATTATAGGTGGGCCTCAGGGGAAAAATAGAAAAAAGGACTATCACTTTAAAGAATATAAATACAAATTAAGCTGTATTGACCACATCAGTGGCATGCTCGTTTGTAAAAACATGGTAAAGAAATGCATGATCAATAGAAGTCTACATTTTCAATGTAAGCAAAAAACTGCTGTTAAACAGCTGCTTTCATTTTTAAACTACAATATTGAAGGCCTTTGATCAGAAATCAGTCACACATTAATATGCCTGTCATGGAAAAGTTATTCTATTCATTCCACCAGACTTCATATTCATGTATGTATTCATAATGTGAAGAGATAGTACATTTAATTACTTGCCAAATTTTTTTGGCAAGTAATTTAAAAACTTTTTGAAACCAAATTGTTGGCATACACAAAGGGCAACAAAAATGCATTACAAGCAACCTTCAACATTAAAAGGAGGTTCCGGTTTTAAAGTTTAGGGGCAGTTAATGAAGTCTCTCCCACCACATACGGGAGTTCACAAAATACACAAAAAAATTAAGAAAGGTTAAAAGGTTGCTGAAGCTGCACATACCTCTCACATGTGTGATTGCACATTTGGCAGAATCTCTAAAGTAGATGTTTCAGCAACCTCATGAATTTTTAAATGCATCAATAAAAAGTACAACCATTTTTCGGTAATAGGCCCTCACCCTAGAAGTATTCAGGGCAATATTTTTTTACTGCCACACCACGTTTCCTGAATATGAACATGGCGGTTTTATTTAAGATATGTTAATAGCATTCAAATGGGATCAGGGTTACAATTAATCTCAGCAAATGGATTAACAAACACAAAATTAAAGTAAAGCGGCAGCCCCTCGCGGACAACTGCCGCACACAAAATACAAAATAAAATCCAGGCCTGGTCCTCTCTCGTCCAACACTGTCGTCACTCCACCTTTTACCTTCCGGAGCTCCTCCGTGGGACTCGAGACCGGTGAGTGGCGCAGGTGTCGTGCATTAGCATTTCCTCCACCGGCCTCGCTCCGTTCCCACGGCTCTCGGCCCCACCCCTCTCGTCACACTACCCTTTCCACTTAATGCAGTAGCTAGACAGTTCACAGTTAATCCAGTATTATTAATATGGCATCAGAAAGATGCAGCAAGAGCATAAGTAGGCAAAAAAGTGATCTGTGTATTTGGTTAAGAACAACACAATTTTTGCTTCTGAAATAAATGGAGTTTTTAATGTTTTGATGACAAGTTTCCAACGCTAAATTTCTGTTTGACCCACAAATCTCTAGATATTCAGTCTCAGGTCAAGAAATAGATTGGGTTCTTGATCTGTTAATGGGTTAGTTCACCCATTAATTACTCACCCTCATGCCGTTCCAAACCCATAAGACCTTCGTTCATCTTCGGAACACAAATTAAGATATTTTTGATGGAATCTGAGAGCTCTCTGACCCTCCCATAGACAGCAAGGGTACTACCACGATCAACGTCCAGAAACGTAGCAAGGAGATCGGTAAAATAATCCATGTGACATCAGGGGTTCAACCGTAATATTACGAAGCTACGAGAATACTTTTTGTGCGCAAAAGAAAAAAAATAACAACTTTATTCAACAATTCGTCTCATCCGCGTCACCCTAGGGCCATTTTGGAGAGTATCCACTGAACGCAAACAGAGTATGCTATTCTGTGTCAGCTGCGCCACATGGATATGTTTTCTACGTTGTTTGTGCTTTGATTTGAACGTAAAACAACATATCCGTATAGTGCAGCCGTTCAGTGAATACTCTCCAAAATGGCACCAGGGTGACACGGAGGAGACGAATTGTTGAATAAAGTCGTTTTATTTTTTTTCTTTTGCGCACAAAGTATTCTCGTAGCTTCGTAAAATTATGGTTGAACCTGGATTATTGGATTATTTTACCGATCTCCTTGTTACGTTTCTGGACGTTGATCGTGTAAGGACCCTTGCCGTCTATGGGAGGGTCAGAGAGCTCTCAGATTCCATCAAAAATATCTTAATTTGTGTTCCGAAGATGAACGAAGGTCTTACGGGTTTGGAACGACATGAGGGTGAGTAATTAATTACAGAATTTTCATTTTTGGGTGAACTATCCCTTTAACAGCTAGAAAAATAAGAGGCTTTTTCTGCAATTCAAATCAATTTCTAAGGTCAAGGTTACTCCGACTGAGTAAAACTACATTCCCAAATCCTGAATAGGAAAGAAGTATTGTTCAGTGCATGTAGCCTTTTTCTTAAAGTAAAAAAAATGGCTTAAAAATGAAAACACCATAATTTAATCAAACTCGTGATTTTCACAAAAGGAGAAAGAGACAATTTTACTTGCTATTTTTTTCATACAATGAAAGTGAAAGAGGATCCCACTGAAAATGACAAAAAAAAGAAAGAAATTCACCAAAGAAAGAAATTCATACTGGTTTAGAACAATTTGATGCCGAGTATATGATGACAATTTTTATTTTTGTGTGAACTATTCATGGAAACCTCACAATGAACCACTAAAAGGAAAGATGATTGTAATCACAACAAGAACAGGAGCATTTCTCAGGAGATGTTATTCTCTTTAAAGCACACTGTGCTGATCTGTGAGCCACTCAAACCTCCCATGTTCTGTGTCATGGGTCATCAAAGCACTGCAGTGAAACCAGAGCCCTCTCTGCAGGAGAAGCCAACAAGGCCAAGCAGACTGCCTCTCAGTTAAACCCACTGGATGTGGACTGCCTTTACGACACTCATATCTGACTAGATTCTAAAAGACGTCATAACACCCTTTATCTGTGACAATATTCACTATAAAATTACAGAATCACATACCTTACTGTTCATAAAATTAAAAGGGAAAATTTAGGCTCAATTAATTTTTTTTATTTCTAAGCTATCCATTTTAAAACTGTAAAACAATCTACACTAAAAAGCAGCAGAAGTGCCATACTGCATCCTAAATGCTTAAAAGTGATTTAAAATAAAATTATTTAGTATAAATTAATTTATAAATAAATGAGTAAATACAAAAAATAAATTAATATTTATATACACCACAAAAACAATTTTTTTTAAATAATGCAACAGTTTGTATAAATATTTGAGTTATGACAACTTCTAATGAAATTATGTTCAAACACACTACATTGAGTTAGAACTTAATTTGTAGCATAAACAATTTTTAAGCGATTACTCAAATTAAGCGGTTCCAAAAAACTAGAAGAAAAGTCTTATCTATGTCATTTCAAATTAACAGCACATGCAAAAATGTAAATTATTAAGCATGTGAAATTAATGAAGTAAATTTTACTTGTCAATGAAGTAAGATACTACAGCGTTAGCACAGTCATTCCTCATATGGTCAATGTAGTTTAATTTCATTTAAGTTACTACAACTTTTTTTAAATAAATTAATGCAGAAAATGTGTCTAGATTATACACAATATTACATTAATGTCATGATCAATATTATTATTTCAATAGAACTTATCAAAATAATGTTTGGAACTTCCTAAAGCAATAAATTCAAATTTTTAATTTGCAACCATGCATTTAAATTGTGGTAACAGGTGACATGAATTTATTTTTTGGAGTGTAAAACTAAGGATAAATATCGACCTCTTTTTCTGTGACAAGTATGGAAACTTAATTAGAGAATTTCTTTGTCAATCCATCATGCTAATTAATAGCTTTCAACTCACTGCCACCACAGTTCCCTTTCTCTTACCTGGTGGTCCTGAATTTTACGGCCCACTACTCTGAAGGCGTTGTTGCCAGTGTGGTGATAGATGTGGACTCGACTAAAGCCTGTAGATCCACCAGCCGGAACCCACTTCTTATTGGCGTCGTCATATACCATGACAGCAGCCCGTGCCTGACAGATACTCTGCTCACTGAAAAGGAAGAAAAGAGAGACATATGAATGATTGGATGGTGGAAAACAAATCTGCCTTGAATAATCTTCAATGGTTAAAACACTCATTCAATAAAACTCAAAATTCAATAACGTAATTAAAAAAAATTTACATTTTCAATGTCCTCCCGCTGTCTCTGGTTTAAAATGGGCAATAAATATGGGAATCAGTGCATTAAATTCAATGAGAAGACATTGTAAGTTAATAATTGCAGTAGACAACTCTTCTTCCAATCACAGAAAGCTTTAAACCATAGAGAAGTAACCATCCGTCATGTGATCCTGCATTGACACTCAAATGCAGTGCACCTTTATGAGTCACGCTTTCATTAAGCAGTCACCCATCAAATGTAAACACTGGAAATCAATTTCCCCCATCTCTCTGCTCACTTTGCACTATAGAGCAACTCTTCCTTGCATATAACACTAAATTATTTACAATGACTTCCAACTTCCCACTGCGAGCCACTGAAAGGTGCTAACTAGGGCTGCACGATTAATCGCATGCGATATTTAACGCGCATCTTGTCAGAAAGCCGGTTCTGTAATCAGCGGTAAAGCGCGTTAAATATCGCATGCGATTAATCGTGCAGCCCTAGTGCTAACACACACTTACTTTGTCATGTGATCAAATGGAAGCAACACTTTTAACGCAGGTGGAAAAAGGCGAGAGTGAGAAAACGAGAAAGGGTGGAAAAAGTGCTCCGAACTTGTGAAAAAATATTTCTGGTTGTGCACATCTCCCTCCTTTAGAAACATTGACAATGTTTTGGCCGTATATCATTCAATAAATCTATTCTAGTTGTAATGAATCTTTGTTTGCGAAACGGAAAACAAGACAAAGAAATGAAAGCTAGCTTTTATGTCATAGTTTATGACCAGCTGCATTTTGTCAGTTGCTTGGTTTCTTTGCACCAAATAATTCCTGGTCTTCCTGGTTGAGACACTGTAAAACTAGCACCAATACCCTGATGTCCCTACTATTTGATTTACACTAATATAAATTCTGACAAAAAAATTATGCAACTTAATATTCACATACAAAAGATCATCACCTCTGTGGAGATGGAAAGACTTTGAGATCAGATGCCACATGGCTAACAGCATTAAGTTAATCGGGTAAAATAAACAATCATGACAAAGCACTCCAGAATATACATCGACAGACTGTCCAGTGTTTTGTTTTGCTTTTCTCTGAAATCAATCTGAGGACTGAGATGAAATCCCGGGATCATCGGCCTGACAGATAAGGGCTAATCTAACAGGATTGTCTGCCGAGACCAATCCCTGCACTTTAATTAATGAACAGGGGTGCAGGAGTGGGCTGAGAGGGCTCTCCGGTGCTTTCTATCATATTACAGAGTAATAGATGTCAGACAGTCAGAGAGCTAATGGTTTACACAGGACAACTGGCCAAGGGGAGAGAGCCATGACACACCCAAAACAAAAACCCCATTCTTTCAACAAATCTATGACTCAAATAGAAAACATTTACATCCCCAAACAGTTCTTGCAAAGAAACCCCAATGCCATTTCATTTTTTTAACCATTAAATGTTTTAAACAATTAATAAACAAATCAAAACAAATTATCCCCAAAAATAACTCTCTCACACCTGAGACCTTGTAACACTAATGAGTCACATGACACCGGGGAGAGAAAATGGCTAATTGGGCCCAATTTGGACATTTTCACTTTTGTGGCCAGCGGTTTAGACATTAATGGCTGTGTGTTGAGTTATTTTGAGGGGACAGCAAATTTACACTGTTATACAAGCTGTACACTCACTACTTTACATTGTAGCAAAGTGTCATTTCTTCAGTGTTGTCACATGAAAAGACATAATAAAATATTTACAAAAATGTGAGGGGTGTACTCACTTCTGTGAGATACTGTATACACACACACACAGACACACACACACACACACACTCATACAACACATAAAAAAAATAAATAAATAAAAGCAGAACTCTTATTCAGTAGCCTGACTTTCGAGCTTCATCTGGAGCTGAGATCATAGACTTCAGCATTAAGAGCATCAATATGAGGGTCATGATAACAGACGACAAGGACGAGATGGACCACACTGCAGGTATTTGCTGATCTCATGATAGCTGGAAATGATCGTTTCACCCACATCTTGCTACTGTACGTAAATTCAATCTGACACTTTAGCAGGTCTGGAGAACTGAAGATTTCAGTCTCTCAGTCCGACTACAGTCAGTCCACCATTCCTGTTTATAGTTGTCCTGATTTGGCAATAAAACTACCTAATAACCTTCAAACACAATGTATCCCTTCAATTTCATTCCAGAGGTGCAAATAAATTCCAAGGACAGAGGGAGACTAGCACAAGGAGTTCTGTGATGAAAGGAAAACTTCACTTGATGGAATAATGTGCATACCCAAATTATGACAGCTATGCAATCTATGCTCACATTTTCTCATAAATCACAGGATTAATAAGCCATTTAGGGAATTTGTCAAAATAAAAAGCTCTGGTGCTGGAATTGGATGCAAATAATAAAGCAGTTTAACATAAATATTAAGCTAAACTACTGGTGTGTGTGTGTGTGTGTGATTATCGATTGTGTCAAGTACAAAATACATTTCATCTTTTTCAAACCTTATATTATTTGTCTTTCTTCAAAGCTTAAGTGAACAATAGTCATTAATAATGATATTAATGTTAATTGGCAAATAATTGACTGAACCTCTGTTGCATGTCAAGTGTTTGACATTTGGATCAAAGATGAATCAAAAAACTGTTTGGTTAATGTTTAAACAAATTAATTTGACTGTAAATTTGACAAAGTGTGATCAAAAACCCTCTGATACAAAAAACATCCAAAGCACTGCAGCAATGCAATCAGGAAACATTTTCATTCCCTCATCACTTTAACATCTCAATAGCTAAAAAATACGACATCAGAGAGCTTCGTGCTGAGGCTGCAGAGACGCGGGAGCAAGCGCTGCCTGCAAAATGCTCTGGGGAAGAGCATGGTAAACCAAGATCTGATTATGCAACCCAGCGCCCACAACATCAGGAGAAATAATCATCAACCTTCTACACAGCTCAAAGTAACGTCCTCGATGACAGCTCCATTGTCTCTGGCCATGTAACACACTCATTCACAAATAAACTACACAAGTTAAGATGAAGGGATGCTTGTTGCAGCATGTGTGATAATGGCATTGCATATATAAACATGGATGCGATTTCTGCATGCTGACAACAGGCCAAGGATGCTGCTGCCAAAATAAATTATGCAACATTGTGAATATCATCATTTTAATGTGTTTTTTATTCAGCCGTTAAGTTTTACAAACCTTCACTGTCTCCATCCAAACTGTCTAATTCAATTTGCTTCGGCACTAAGAAATGTTTACAGAAACTTACAAATTCATCTAATTAAATATTGTTCTCCAATTTGTATTGATGTTTCAAACTAATTAAAGATCAGAAAAAATAATATATTTAGTGTATTCATTTAATAAAAAAAAAAACTATGGATTGCATTAAACATTTTACATTTATCTGGCAACAATAGACGTTGGTAAAATTTTAAAAACATTTATTTTAAAATAAAATCATGCATTTAGGCCATTTCAAATTATGCATTAACATTCTATATAATTCACGAGTAGGGGTAGGTTACTTGTGAATTATACATGGATCTTAATATTTGTGTTGGCACATAATGAACTAGCCCTGAAGGTTTGACATGAATCATGCATGTCACGAAGGCCAACTCCGACATGCTCACACTTTAACTCTTAGTTTATTTACACAGCTCAAATTGTCTAACACTATAATTCAAACTGCCATCTCTAAGCCACATAACAAATCCACTGAGACTCTAGCAAACACAAGGAATCAAACCTCCTCACAAGTCAAGCGGACCCACTGGCCTCAGTTTTAGAGATCTACAGCAATCCTGCTCAGAGGCCAAGGGATTTCAGAGGTATTGTTGAGATCTTGTGCAAAGAATATCAAACAAGAATGAAACACAGACAAACAGTGAGAAAAAGTCTTAGTCATGGTTGCCACCTTAATATCAAAGTATCACAATATAACCTGACAGAGAAAACCACAATGTGTTTCACACAATGAAGGAAAACTGATATAGATCTTGCAGGACAAAGCATCATGCTGTACATCTTCAAGGTTGAATTGCTGGGAAATGTGCCCTCTAAACTTACATAGACAATGCTGCAAGTGAAAAAAAGCCCACAAACAAGGGATACAATTTAGCCTGGGGGGGGGGGCAACTGAGAAAGTCCCAGGCCCTGTGACAAAAAAAGCCCATTGAATACCCTCTATGGTATAAACTACTCACTGGACCTAGGCAAGTAGATTCAAAAATAAAGGACTCTTTTGAACTGATTCTTTTTAGTGAATCAGAAATTAGCACAAAATTTCTCCTTACAAATATGCCTACTTCAATACTATGCAGTATGTGAAAAAAAGTACATGAAAATAGTAGTATGTCCAAATTCATAGTATTTGAAAAACAGCTGGCCAAAAGTACCTGGATGACCTATTACTTCCAATGAGAATCAGAAGTACACATTCAACGGACACTTTACTATCAAACGGGAGAGGAGTTTTGAATGACAATGAAGCGACGGCAATGATGCTGAAAGGTCACATGACAATGGCAATATGGCAGAGACGGTACGTCCAAAAAGGCAAGTTACAGGTTTGAATCAGACTGAAATAAATCAGAATGATAAAAAATAGAATCAAATCAAATGGAAATTGGAATTGAATCAAATAAAATCAAGAGAGTCAAAATTGTAATAAAATCTGTAGAGATACCCAGCTTTATTTTCCAACAGGTTTTCTGAACAATCACCTTATCTGTCATTGGTCGGTTAAACAGTCCCACCGCAAACTTATGCCTTTGGTTGAGCCAATATTGCCATGTTCAAGGATATTCTCATCACATGGTTTACTGAGATACGAGAAATCCC